CTGGCTGGGATATATTCTGAATGACCACAAAATCCAACACTTAAGACTACAAGGACAAATGCCAGCCTCAATGAGGGTAGGTATCTTCCAATCCTTCCAGAAGGGCTCCCGAGACATACTTCTCTGCACAGACATCGCCTCTCGGGGCCTGGACAGCACTCAGGTGGAGCTAGTTATCAATTATGATTTCCCTCTCACCCTGCAAGACTACATCCATAGAACAGGGAGAGTGGGCCGTGTGGGGAGCAAGGTACCAGGCACCGTTATCAGCTTTGTGACCCATCCCTGGGATGTGAACCTGGTTCAGAAGATTGAGCTGGCAGCTCGCCGGAAGAGAAGCCTTCCAGGACTCGGGTCCTCAGTGAGAGAGCCTTTGCCCCAGTCAACCTGATTGCAGCTGTCTTAAATGTGATGCTGTAACAGGGATCATTCTTTGTGTGCTGGATGGGTGAACACTTGGGGTGCCTATTCACCTTCCTGAAGGCCTGGTTAGCTGCTGTCTAGCTTCAAAAGACAAGCTGCTGGCCAGCATTGGAGAGTGACCTACTGAGCACGGCTCTCTATAGTCTTTCACATAATAAAAAATAAAGTCGATTTTGGCTTTGTATTATGTCATGATTTCTAAAAATAAGTGATGTTGCTGTGGTTGTCCCCTAATAATACTTTCCATTGGGGCAGAATTCCCTGGATTCTGGGAAGATTCCAACTCCAAATTACCACACCTAGGACTAGGGCTGTTTCATTAAATTGATGTTTTAATTTAGATTTTATTTAGATCTTATTTCTTGCCCCTAAAACATCCATTAGGCCCCCAGGAGAATAGAAAAGGATTGTGACTAACAGTAGAGAGAAATTTTCTTCACCAACAGTGGCCGTGACAAGCTTAGGCACTCTTAGTGAAATCTATCTGGGAAGTACTGGCAAAAGAATAAACGGCAGACTGACAGAAGTATTGTTTATTGTGCATTTCCAGTCTGTGCCTTCTATCCAAGCTCTTGGTGGCAAAGGAAGAGGAGAGAAGTTTAAACTTCTTAACAAAACTGGCCAAATATGCGTATAGCATCCTCTCATTATCTCCGAGGTTCTAGTCTCTGCAGCATTATATAAGCTTTGCCTAAGGTAATGAACAATTGAAAGTCAAATATGATACTTCACAAAACAACTTAAAGATACTTGCACACTGAAAAGGATTAAGTGGCAGAGAACAGAAATGGGCCCAGAGCAGCCTTTGCCAAAAGAGAATATAGGGCTAAATGAACAATCATAGCTCTTTTCCATATGAAGAAACAAAATCAGAAGGATAAAAGAACTTGCTCAAAATAACACAGATTTTGGGACAGAATCTGGGCTGTCTGTCCTAAGGGTTGTGTTCTTATAACCACCATGCTAGCTTTTCTCAAATGTGATACATGCATAGAATAACTATACATCTCTGTCTTGAATATTCCTTGTTTACATCTATTGGATGGTGCAGTTTTGTTTTTTTTTGTTTTTTTTTTACATTTTTATTTGATTCATAATCATTTTACAGTGTTGTGTCAAATTCCAGTGTTCAGTACAATTTTTCAGTCATACATGGACATATACACATTCATTGTCACATTTTTTTCTCTGTGATTTATCATAACATTTTGTGTATATTTCCCTGTGCTATACAATGTAATCTTGTTTATCTGTTCTACAATTTTGAAATCCCAGTCTATCCCTTCCCACCCTCTACCCCGCCCCCCCCCCCGGTAACCACAAGTCTGTATTCTCTGTCCATGAGTCC